AAAAAACTATTGAAAATCTCGAACTTGCGTTCGGACTTTTTAAGTTCTCAACTAAGGTATCTAATGAAGCATCTAAAAACTGATAAGAATCCAAAAATTTGAATTCGTTGGAAATATTCCTGTCTATAGTGGCAATCCTGTCTATAGGTGTGATATTAATGAGTAAACATGGTAAATTTGGAAAAATTTACAGGTGTGATATTAATGCATTTGAAAACATCTTTCGGCATATTTTGTAAAATTAAATGGAATCGTGATTATGCGCATTATGTATTAGTCCTTGAATAAAATATGTGCATCTATATAATTTAGATTACAAGACTGATGTGCTAATCTGCGTATATGTCCGTCACTCCACTGGCAGTGATCTCGGACAAGTGTCTCATTGGGTAAAAATTGCTTTTGACATATGTGACAACAGTTTCTGTCATAAGTTTCAGAGCATTTCACCATCAGTAGAATTTTTTTCATTTTTTGTTACAATTTCCGTGATAGATATTTCAAAGTTTTTAGAAAGTTATTAATGACATATTACCAGAGTAGTATTCCGTAAATATTATTTCATCGTTAATGTTTGTGACAAGAATTGCATAGCTGATAGGCTATTACTACTGAAAAACTTTGAAACTCAGATGGAAAAGATGAAGAAACTTTTCTAGTGAGAGACTCAAAATCCGCAAAAATACAAAATGGATGATACAATTGTTTAGACAAGTCAGTCAATTTAAGTACTACTAAATTTTTGGGGATGCTTACATTCTGAGTTTTTTGCCTTTGCACAATTTTATGTGGGTTTCTAAACTGCATTTTCGCTGAAACCCTAACAAACAGTTTTTACAATAGTGATGAATACCTTTACGAACATTTAATAATCTATTTAAGTTTTTTAAAAAAAATGATTTTAAAAAGTAAATCAATTTCTTTCATTAAGTCGATATTTTTTTTTGCTTATACTTAAAGGAAAGATTTCATTTTCTTCAAACGCAAATACATTAATTTTTAAATCATTTAACTTTTCAAATTTTTTTGAATTCCACTTAAGGAAATCGGAAATTTTATCCCGCTAATTTTAAGACATCTCAAATATTTTTTATAATAATTTAACGTGTTTTTATTCTGTTTCCTTGGATATAGTTTTTGCGATAACAGAATACAAAAAGCATTTATTATCATAACAATTAATGTTTAAAACCGCTTTTTTGTTTCGAATTTTTGCTGGCAATTCTATGTGTTTGCATCCTCTTCTTATTTCACACAAAGTGCCTACTAGAATGTCAATGTAGTTCAGACGCTATATTGACCATCCACTACCATTTCTAATAAAGTTATCAATGCTTAGAAATATTTTTCGAAATGCATTGTCAACCACTATTAATATCATTATTAATAGCGCATTAGGATTCATTCACATTTGGAACAGAAATGGAAACTTTTTTCTATTTCTCTGTCTCCATCACCTTTCTTAAATAATATGCTTAAGCATATAATTATTCTTAACCTACGAATATTACTACTACTTAATGAAATAATTATTTGTCGACTGTCCCGATATAGTAAATGACGACCTCTGTAATTATGACAATAGCTCTGTATGAACGCACAAAGCCACGATGAGCATTTCTATGCACATTAAAATTTAGCATATTGATTTCAGAATGTATTAAAAAAAAAAAAAAAAAAACATGCTCGTTACAAAAAGGTTATGCTGAACATTACCTCATATGATTTTTTTTTAAATTACTTAAAATTGGCATATTTATTTCTGAATAATTTAAAACATGTACATTATAAATGCTACAGTTACACAATTAAAAAAAACTAGTTAATGTTATATATATAACACATTGATTTCAAAAAACATTGCAAAAAATATTACAATTGAATTATTATATTCCATTAAAAAATCTAATTAGCAAAATTTCTTAATATTGCTTCTTCACTGAATTTGTCAACATTTTTTATGAATTAACTGAAATTTCAAATAAATTATAATTTGTTGTTTTAGTGTAATTAGATAATAATTAATCTTAAATATAAGTAAATTAGTACTTATACTGTGAGTGTAATTCAAAGTTTTTAAACGAGTATATATACTGCCTAGAATACTGAATGTGTACATCATGTGGGTTTGAAGATACATGATACGTTTTTTGTGTGATTAAATTTATGTCATTAACATTCAAGAAACAAGCTCCCATACATTAAGAAATATTATATTTCACAAATATTTCAAAAGTAACAATAATGATTGATCAAACTATTAATAAAAAAGAAAAAAAAATGAATATATATTTAACATTACAAATAAAATTTAATTAAATTTATAAAAGGAAATTAACTTCAATTTATATAACAGGTTAATTTATATATAGGTTCAAAATTTCAAGAAAGAGAAGTATTTACACACAAATTATAAACAAATTTTGGAATCAGATTTACAAATATTTCACACAAAAACTAAATGTTTCATATACTACAGATACACAATCTATTTTAATTAAAATTTATGAGATTTTATTGAAAACAAAATTATTCGAATACATAATACATGCTTAAGCAATGTATAATGTAGAAGCTAAGTTTAAAATACTACACAATTTTTGTTTAGAGAAAACAAAAACAGGCAAGAGTGGTTAAAAATTACAATAAAAAAGATGGTATGTACAACATGGCATGTATCCTTATAGCAAAATTGTAACCACAATGCTTGCATTCTTCACCAAGACAAAAATGTCTTATCAAGATAATTTTCCACACATAAATGTCACAGAATTTATATTAATCTAGTTATCAAATGAAAACCTAAAGAGCAGGCCTGATTCCATCATTTCTTTGCGAATCTTCAGCAGCAGGTGGTACATTATTATTTTCCATGGATGTTGGCAATGATATGACACCATGGCACAGTGGGCATTTGTCTTGGACATACAACCATTTCCGTAAACATGTCCTATGAAAATAATGTTGACAAGGTGTAACACATGCTGAACTCATGCTCCCAAAGCAAATAGAACAGACATCATCAAGGAGTGCAAGTTGCTCCTCTGTTGCAGATGGTAATGATTTGGCTTTCTTTGCAGCCTCCCTTCGCAGCAAGAAGCTTCGCCATCCAGTTTGCAAACGCTGCCAAACATTGAAATAGCAATGAACCAGCAAGATAGATGCATTAACCCAATTCCACTTACCTGAGGTAGATTCCCATAATCCCATACCTACGACAAAAATTGCAACAAAGAATTCTAACACTTTGGTGATGGCCCTAGTATAATAGACTGTATCATCCAAGCTCTCCCAAGGTTCCGATCGAGCAGAGTCATACAGAAACAAAGAATGAACAAGAAGAAGATCCAGAACTTGCACTGAAGTCAGAGTGCAACTGGAAAGAACAACCATCATCCAAAAGTCTATGGGAAAGATGGCTGATAACACTTTAGTTAAATACAAAGGGAAGACCAACAATGTGAAACACAAGCTGAGTGCTCTAAAATGTCGCCAAATACTCCGACTTCTGGATGCACTCAAAGCCAGAACAACTGGTTCAGCTATTTCCAACATAGACTGCAACAAAGAAGAAAGTACTATAAACAATATGATAGTCATCACAGCCATACGTGAAGGCATCTTCATTTCTATCAGTCCCGTTTGAATGGAAAGTAATATCAGTGTTAAGCCTTCTGTCCAACCACTGTGCATTGGATTATCATGGAAAAATGCGGAAAGACCCAGTAGGTACGCTCTTGTTGAACACAAGGTAAAGAAAGACAGATATGATATGCTAACAGCGACTAGAGTAACTGGACTGGCACAAATGGAACTGATTGTAGTTAGAATGATAATATACCATTCGTCTCCCCAACCTAGCTTTTCCACTTGATATATTGACCCCACAAGTTTTACCCAAAATTCTATTAACCAAAATAAGGCAAAGTGAGTAGGTACAAAAAGCTTATTCCACAATAAAGTAAACAAAGTTGTTACACCATATGCTTCTGTTACAGTCAAAGCATCCATGTAAGCTAATTTGGCACAATCCAAGATATCTGGAATTTGATACGTAATATAAAGAAAGACATTGAATCCAGTAACTGCTCTACAAAAGTTATGGAAGAAAGGAAGAGCGTCCACGGGCAAATTCGCTAAACGTGCAATCACTGGGATGGCATAAACCGAGAATACAGGTGGAACAGATATCCATGGACCTTTCAGCAAATAAGAGATTAGTCCTCCGAGGAGTCCATGAAATAAAAACATAGCAATCTGTCGTCTCAGGAAGTATGGATCATAGGAGTCATTCTCAGCTTTCTTCATTTCCATTTCGATATAATAACCAGACACCATGTGGCAGCTAACTATCAAGGCTGCACTTATAAAGTGTGTGTATAATGCTCTCACATGCCTTAAAGGAAGTAACAGGAGAAGAAATCCATGCAGAAGAACTGGAAAAGAAATGATGACAGACATTAAGCTTCAGTAAAAAAATTAAAGAGTACACTACATTTACAGCAAACACATAGAAAGAAATTCTATGATCATCAAACTAAATTTTTACTGAAGTTCTAATACAGATATATAAAAATAATGGAATAAAGATATAAAACAAAAGGAAATTTTATTGCAACCAAACTAAATTTTACAAATTTTTAATATAAATGAACACTAACAATACAATGAAGATCTAAAATGAAAGGGGGCTTAGGATTTTTCCGTTAAAGTCATACCACTTGACACCTTTTTGTTTTGGCATATATCCTAGGTACTGAAAGACTTCCTTCATCTCAGGAATAAAAAGGTGACCCAAACACAATGTGGTTTGTTGAATCATGCATTCCTTTGCATTATTGCCATGAGATTCCTTTAATTATAATGACAGAAGCTAGCATTTATTGAGTTTTTCAAAATGAAAAGCAATAAATATAGCAAAATCGTGCAAATTGATGAAAATGTATTCCTCCCCAAAAAAAGAAAATATGTATGTCTTCAGGTTTGGGGAGGAATCTGTTGTCAAATTAGGTTAAAATTATCACAAGCAATTTAAGTTTTTTTATATGCTATGTGCTTAACTTGTATCTCTTGATTATTAGTTCTTTCTAACTTTCTGCTGGAACACCTGGTACAACATTGATGGTGTTTATGCCAACTTTCATGGTTGATGGGATTTCATATGTTTAAAGAGGCTTACAGAAATATGTCCAATTTTATGCCAGAAATGTATATTTGGTGAATCCCTGGTTTATGGTAATCTGGCAACAACCCACTTTTCTCAATGTCATTTCTCTCCTATTTTAATTCTGAGCCAAATTATATTTCCATTAAAATTTTTCCGTTTCTTGTTATGGCACCTGATTATTCTATTTCAACTAGCTTTGAGCCAAAGGCATTGGAGAGAAAGAAGTAAGCCAGAATGCATTAATTATGGTAACACTGAAAATGAGTGGTATGGTTTTAACAGAAAAGCACTTGAAATTCATCATATGTCATTAAACTGACTTATGATGAATTTCAAGTGCTTTTCTGTTAAAACCATACACAAAGTTCTGATATAGATAGATATACACAAATAATGGAGTAAGAGTCTAACAAAGAAATTAAATTTTTACATTGTACTTGCAAACTTCATAAATGTAAAAATCACACACACGCACACAAATATATATATATATATTTTACAGCAAGCAGATAAATATCAAAATATTACAAAATAATTAAACAGGAAGGAAACACTTATCACAAAAACGGAAATTAATTTTTATGACATATACAAGTATAGTTTTGCTTTTGCTAATAAATAATTCGAAAATTGTATTCTATAATATCTTTGAAACAATACAGATATTATGTCAGAATTCTGGAATTATGTTTTCTGACAGTTATTATTTGGCTTAAATTCCAGAATTAGGATATTAAGAAATTGCTTAAATTTTGACTCAACAGCCCTTTTCAGAAATACCAAGGTGTTTCGAAAAGTTGGATGCTTTTGAATATACTTTCAGAATACTTCAAGGAATTTGGGTGTTCAAAGAGAAAACACTTGGATGTGTACACCAGCAAATACCATAAATTAATTTACCCAGTGATGTATGTGGAGACTGCCTAAAGACGTTTTCCCTCTTGATGAAACCAGTCTGTCCTTTCATCTCATGCCTTAAAATAATTAGCCTCTAAAGACTGATAAAGGCTCAGACCAAGCACTGATGAAATGGATTGAATTGGATTATTAAGTTACGGCAAAGCAGGGCTATCTGCCCTAAAAGGAGGGATGCCTTCATGAAGAATTTTCTAAGGTAAACCAGCTGGCATACACCTTACAATGAGAAAAACCACGAAAACGCCCATGCAACCAGCTCGTTCGCCAGGATTCGAAGCCCGGATCGAAATACCAGTGTTCAGCGACTTTACCGCTCGGCCGTTTGTGGGCCTTTATGAAATGGAAGGCAATAATTTTATTTTAAATGAATGTCAGAGATACCAAGATGTTTCGAAAAGTTGGATGCTTTTTAATATACTTGCAGAATGCTTGAAGAAAAAAAGCAAGCCATTAAGGAGAAAAAATATTTTTTTTCATAAAATTTGGTATTTTTTTAAATTTAAAATTCTTTATCTTATGATATTTTATTCTTGCGATTTCAAAAATAAAATATTTGACTAAAATATGAATAACATTTTAAGAAACTAAATGCAGGATGATAAAACTGTGTAAAGCAATGAGCACAATGTTAAAGCTATTTAAAGCAAAATATGTAAGTCACCCGAAGTTAAAATGTCGGTTATACATCTTGCTCATTTATATATTTTTTCTGAATGGAATATTGAAAGGCGTGTTAACTGTGCTTTACTGTATTTTCTTTTTTAATATATTCAGTTTTCAGCTGCATCGTAGTCTGGAACACAAAATATTCTTTCGAAAGAAACACAGTTCAAATAAATAAAACAAAATCCTGGAAAATTTATATTAATAAATATATTTAAAATGCTCAGTTCATATGAATAAATAAAAAATTTGAAGAGAAAATGCAATACAAAAAATTAAAATAAAAGTCTAAAAATTAAAAAATTACCTAAAATAATAACTGTGACAAAAAAAAATTATAAAGAAAACTATTTGAAAAAATAAACGATGCACCTTATATTTAAACTATGCAGTTCGAATGGGTAAACAGAAATTTTTAAAACAGTTATTCGAAAGGAATCATGCAACTTACACAATTAAAATGAAATTCGAAAAAAGAAAAAAAAAATATATATTTAAAATAATAACATAAAAATATAATATAAAGAACATTATTTGAAAGAAAGAATGTTGTGATTTTTTTTACTCTGACGGGAAAGGAAAATAGGTTGTCATATATTAAGAAGTTGCCAAGTGAACTATTTTGGCACAAACTAAATAAAAAACGGCAACATAAATTTGTGAATTTTGCACCAAATTTTCATATTTGGGCATAATTTGAATCGTAGAATCGAAATATGGGGAAAAAATTGGTATGTTATTTCAGAAAAAGTCCGATTTCATGTCAAAAAAACTATGTAAGAATAGAGCTATATATAAATCTAATATATATCCTAAGTTGCACTTTTGAGACACGAAGAACGCAATTTGAATTTTGTCAATTGGCCCGGTAGAATGGGAGATATAGAACTGTCTCTCCCCCCTTCTTTTGCACAGTGTACATGTTGTCAGTTAAACATGTTATTGTTAAATGTCTTGTTGGCTAAAGCTCCTGTTTGGTAAGTAACAAAGACCCAGTAAAAACATATTGAACAATTTTATATATCAAAATTAAACATTCACCACAGAAATGGTTTTCAAAGAATTTTTTATTTAACAGTAAATTTTTTCCTAAATTTAATTCCTTGGAGATTTTTTTTAATCACATTCCAGGCAGGCACAACTGGATTAATAACACTAAAAAAATAAAATTTCCCTGTTTTTAACTCTCTTTTCAGATACAAAAAGCATAAATTTGAAAGCAACATCTGAAAAATTGTCAACAGATAAATCCTAAATATATGTCCCATAATTTTAAAACTAAGCACAAAAATTAAAATTTTATAAAGAGACAGTGGGACATGCACCCAAAAGGAAGACTTTACCTTAAAAAGAAAGAATGGGCATATATAAATGCAAAACTTCAATGATAGAATAAATTAGTTTCTTCAATCCAAATATGATATATTTTCATTTAAAAGTTTATGGTATTTACTGAGTATCTGCATCTTCATGAAAGGTGGCAAGTCACTGGTGATGTTTTAAATTAGTAAAAAAAATGCATATCTTAGATGCTATTATGCTTAAAATAAATAATATTAAAAAGAAGCATTTTATAAGAAACAAGAAATTGTATGTGGAGGAAAAAATCTATTCAGCAGGTATTCTCACTTAGCCAGTGGCCACTGTCCCTATGGATTTTAATAAATATAAAGCATGTAAACCCACATATATTCAAATTAGCATTCAAAAATGCATCAAACACCCAGCAGTTCTACAGAATATTGAAGCAAGAGGTGTGGAAAATCAGGAAATACGAAGTTTATTCTCATATGTGTATAAGAAAAAAAACTATAGTTAAATTTGACATGCTGAATTTTCTATTTGCGTACACTTATAACTGAACACAGATCAGACATTCACAAATTAATTGGTCATGGATTATCAGAATTCTACTGTAGTGATTTTCAGCAACTGATTTCAATAGGAGTATATACCTAAATTTGTAGCAACACAATTCAAGATCTCCCCTAACTCCATAGAATGTGGTAAGGATTTATTGCGATCATGCTGCCACCAATAGTCAATAATGAAGAGACCAGGAACTCTCATTATCACTCCGACAGCACCCTCCATCACTGCTTCAAACGTGACTGTTTCAAAACATTAAGATATTCATCCACTTTCACTAATTCTGAAATGGAAAAGAAATAAAATGTGTTTCTAAAAACAAATTAATATGTTAACAATGAGATAAGAGTAAATCAAACATAATGAAAGCTGATATCATTACATCCAAATGCATAATTGCATTATTATGGCTGTTTTAAAGGATAGTCTTTTTTTATGTGCGTGTGCATGCATTACAAAGAGAAAATTGAAATTTGCAAACAGTTGAATGTTACCATTCTAAATTTAACTAATTATTTAAAAACAGGCAGAAATTTTAAATTTCTCTCCATGATCATAAACAAGTCCATTAAAAACTTTATTTTGAGTACACATAAAAAGGCTAAATTTTTCTTAAAATCATCACTTTTTAATATTTATTATATCTAGTGGGGGATAAGAGAACCATATAATAATTTACTAATTGAAAAACTTCTGTACCTTGCATAAATATGTGAATATCTTTTCAGTGCTCTCTAGATCAGTGGTCGCCAACCGGTGGTCCGTGAACGCTTTTGATGGTCTGCAAAAAAACTGGGACATTATTTATATTTTTATGAAGATTCAGTTTAAAAAATAACGAGTAACAAAACCTATTATGGAAGATGGATTATACTTTTTTTTTTTTTTTTAAATTTTAGTTACTATTTTCAGCGAAATTCCTTCAATGAGTTTAGCTACTTTTTATGTACTTTGGCAGGTGTACCTGGCGACATTTGAAAGTGAGAGTTGGCATTCATGGATATGCTGCTGTTTTCAATAACAGCGACAACTGGAATTCTCTCTCCTTTTGAATTAAAAACATATGCTATTGTAGTCATTAATAACACAGTTTTTCTTTGTGTCAATAGGCAAGTTGATGGATTTTCATGAGAACCATCAGCATTCTTGTTTATAACTGCATCACTGGATGTTTTCATTTTTGTTTTGTCTAACTGTTGATCAATAATGCCATTGCTGAGTAAGCAATAATTATTATGTTTATAATAATTAAAAATTAGTGGCATAACACTTTCAGTTTATTGATATTGCTTTGCGTTGGCCGGTTTATTCTTGCTTTTCGTGAAGTCCCTTTTGCGGAAATGTGAAGCTTTCTGTACAAGAAGAAGGTAAGATTTTTGTACTTTTCATATGCCTGTATTTCTATAAAGGCATGCTGCTGAACACCAAATGTTTTGAAAATTATATTAATAAATGAAAATTAGAATTACATGTATTGGAAAGTTTAATATTGTTTTTATGTGTTAATATGTTGTTTTTAAGGTCTGATTTAAAGGTTTTTTTAAATAATTTTTTTAAATTCATATTAGTGGTTCGTCAAATATAAAATTATATATGTAGTGGTCCATGAAGTTCTAAGGGTTGACGACCACTGCTCTAGATCATTAGGATGACCAGCAGAAACCCTCTTACAAAACTGAAGGCTACAGACAAAACTTTTTATTGATTTATTGTATTCTGTGAAATAATCTAATGATTTACTGTTTTTTTATTTAAAACTTTTTAAAGAAAAAACTGTCCTTCTTTATTATGTTTAGACAAAGTTTTAATTTCATACCATTAGCCTTTAACTGCAATTATGAGGCTCAGAGCTTAAACTGTGCCAGAGCCTGGCTCGAGTGCCTTTCAGTTTCTGAGATAAATCATAATTTTAGCTGAAACACACTAGAGCCAAGGGCTCCAGCACTTCTTTTCTGTAAGTGAAACCCCCTTCCAGCAGACAAATTTTACTTTAATAATAAGTATGCCATAAAAAAACCATTCTAAGAATGTAAGCCTGTCTTTCCCTTGGACAGAGGCTATGACTTTAGGGAAAGAAAAGCCCCCACTCACATGTCAAAGATTTATTCTCCAGGAAGTGCAATGAATTTATGAAAGCAGGTAATTTTTTTTCTCCTGAAAGTACTAAAAGTGATACCCTGGTTGTGCACGACTGTCGCTCATCAGGGTACATACACCCCGGTTGGTAGTGACTTCCTACTGCAGCGCTCCTGTAGGCTTTTTTAAGAATAACCAAACATGAGGGACCACTACAGCACAGTGAGGAGACCAGAGGAGTCTTATATTTATTCTCATGTTGTTATCAGATCATATTAGGGGAAAATTTCTGCTTGGGGACTAGAATTATATGAATGGGAAATCACGATCAGAAAGTCTTGGACTTTTCCTTCTTTATTTTCAAAGCTACATTTATTTCATTAAAATTCCCTTCCATATCCTCATACTGTTTCTAGAATTCTCACTATTTTCCATAATGACACTTTAATCATTTTATCTTTTTTCATTGATGCGCTTCAAAAAAGAATGGTTTTGCATTGTAATGTCTTGAAATAGTACATTATATGTATAATCAGGGCTTAAATTCAGATAGAAATCAATTGAGCTACTTCTTAGCTTATGAGTGGAATTTTAATTCCAGCCAAATAAGATGAGGTCCAATAATTTTTTTTTTTATTTATTTAACTATTTATAATTAATTTAACAACTTATTACATTTCTTTTCACCTCTACATTAATTTTAATTTTGGTTTTATTATTTTAATTATTTATTTTTTCCTTCCTACCTGACAGTCTTCCATAGGGCTCAGGCACTTCTAATTTTAAACAAATTATAAGGTACCTATACTACAGAGAAAAAAATTATGCTACAGAGACAGATAGTTATGCTAAAGAGGAAATGTATTTTTTTCACTTCTAAGGATCCATTCACAACGGGCTTGAGGGAAAATCTCTTAGAGGTCCTCCAAAAAAAAATTTTTTTTAAGTGTACTTTTTTGTAAATGGAGCACCAGTTGCCAAACGTGGTTAATTGTTTATGTTACACCATAACAGCTGCGCAATGTTTAATGTGCACATTTGAATTTGTGCAGTTCTCAGTTTTTTTTCTTTTTTTAACAAAAAAAAAAAAAAAAACAGATCATTGCACAGGGAAAACAGCAGCTTTCCCATGCATACAGTGGCCTGTTTTTTGCCTAAAAAAATTAAAGATAATAAACATTATTAATACAAGCAAAGATTGAAAGCAAGATATTATTAAATACTTTTACCTGCTGTATACTCCAGCATATAACGCACACATATAATTTCAAACTGCATTTTAAAATTTTCAGGTACATTCGCCATATAATGCGTACTGTTCTCTTTATGAAGAAACCTGAAAGATATATGCATAATGCTCTTATCTTCTGAAGTTTTTCATTCAAAGATTCTTCCCAGACTTTCGAACAATGGTATCCTGAATTGACAAGCAAAATGGGGAACAATATGTGTATAGGGAAAAATGCTTGAGGGAGGAAATAATTCTGCACAGAAGGTGGGTTTTATTCAATGCAGGAGTGTACAAGAATGTTATTTTTGAGTTTCAAGAAAAGGGATCATAATTTGGAGCAGGAATATACTTCTGACCAGAATTCACGGAGTGACGAGTCAGATGTTTTCTCTTTCTATACACATTTCAAACCATGATTTTAATGTGAAAATTCAAGGATTTAGTAAATCACAATTAGTAATCTTTAGTAAACCACAATTGCTTTAGTTGAAATACAATTGATCTAGTGTTTGTTTTAGTAGTAAATATAGCTCCTACCAAACAAAACAAACACAGTGTTGGTTTCAAAAGTAAAGTCATGTAATTTTCAAAACAAAATGGAAACCGTGTTGCAGCAAAAATGTTTGATATTGGTGAAAGCTCCATATGTCAGTGTAAGAAAAAGGAAATTCCAATAATTAATAAGAATAAATATGCTTTGTGTAAAGAAGTAACAAAATGACCTATCCTAAAAGAAAATATGGTTGACTTCGTCTCAGAAAATTACCAAGAATGGATTAATTGTAACAAGAAATTGAGTATGTTTATCTGCCTTAAAATGAACACAAATGAAAACTTTATAGCAAATTTGAGTTGGTGTAGTCGATTTATGGCATGGAATAATTTAGTTCGATGAGGGAAAAAAAAGGTTTCACAAAAGCTTCTGAAAGATTTGGACCACAAACTGTGAAGTTTCCAAAGAAATATGTTATTGACCTACAAAGGCAAAAACATTATTAACTATCACATACTGGAAATGTGGATGAAACTCCAGTAATGGTTGATATGATAGGAAATAAAACAATTGATGTGAAAGGAACAAAAAAGGTTCAAATAAAAACAGCATGTCAAGAAAAATGTCACATCACTGTGGTGCTTTTTTGCTTAATGAACTGTACAAAATAAAAAACTATGGTTATATTTAAAAGACAATGCTGAAATGTAATTTCCCAAATGCTGTTTTCATTCATATTCACGAGAAAGATTGATGGAAGATAACCATGTGAAACTGTGGATAAAAAATGTTTGGCAAAAGCATCCCGTTGCTTTAATCCTTTGCGGCACAATGTGTCCGTTCTGGACGCACCTAAAAATTTCCTTCTGTACGCACAGAAAAACTTAATGAAAAAGGATTTATAGGTTACTATAGGTTACTCTGAACCTTCTTTATTTATAGTAGATGGCAGTTCAACACAAACCAGTCCATATATTTTAGCCATGTTTAGTTTTTTAAGACCCTCATTTTTCAAAGAAATCTTTCAGATTTTTTTTAGGGTATAAAAGGAATTGTTTGAAAAGAAATTTCTACGTTATTTTTTGGATGTATGGTAATCTCCTTATGCTATATTAGTTTTAAATTTTTACCTTGAAATCTTGCTTAAAATCAAACGGCGAACCCTAGGTGTGCCCAGATCGGGCTCACCAATAATCTAGGACGACTGACAGTCTGACAGCACACCCACAGAATTAAAACGATAAGTGCTAGCTTCACAAAATTTTACTTGTGTACTCCTCTAGGCCTAATTAGACTGCCTACATTTTTTTTTTTTTTAATCAAAACTCCGACTTTAAAAGGTAGCATGCCGGAAAGTGTTAAAGAATCCAGAAAGTCTTTTAGTTCGTGACATGTTCAGATCCCATCTAAAGGATAATATGAAGAAATTATTGAACGGGTGTACTGCAGACATGGCAGTTATTTCAGGAGATTAATGCCATTACTTCAGCCTTCAGATGTATCAATAAACCATTCAAAGAAAATTTAAAATGACAGTGGAATACACAGGTGTTAGAAGGTGAAAAAATATTTGCAAAAGGAGACCAAATACATCTTGTCTCTAGAAATAATGTGTGACTGGGTAATACAATCATGGAATGAAAACACACCTGGCATAATTCAAAGTAATGAAAAATGCAGTACATCTAACAATCTAAATGGAACAGAAGATAATTATTTATTTATGTAGCAGAGTAACAGTGATGGTAAAGATGAAACAGAATTTGATGACGTGCCTGTAGACATAACAGAAGACCAACATGATGAATTTTTCATGCTATCTGATAATGATAATTTTGAAGTTCATAAGGTATGTCATTTCTTTAAAATAAACAGCATTTCGATACATGTATAAATGTAATTTTTATATGCTCATCTTTTTCTTATATTTAAATCGATCATTTTTATATTCGGCTTACAATGCACACCCATAAATTTTGAT